AGTGGAGGGAGATGCGGCCAAACAACGGAAGTGGAGAGCTTCAGGGCATGGGGAGTCAGGGCGGTTTTGAAAGGGGAGTAAGTGGAAGAGGGAAAGGCCAGATGCCGAGAGTTAATTGGTGGCCAGTGGAGGATCTGTCGGACGACTCGGAGGACGTGGAGGATGAGAGGGACACTATGGAGGTAGGTAAAAGAGAGGCGGAAGTGCAGCTGGGAGCTCACCAAGCAGAGGAAGGTGGGACAGAAAGGATGGTGGAGGAGGTACGAGAGATGATGGAGAAATGCTTCGATAGGATGGTTCTGCCAGACATGTCCCGATTCGCCAAGTTTGAGACAAAAGGGAATTCGGTCACGATGACCCTCCCACCTGAGGAAGAGAGAAGGCACAAGTTGACTGGATGAAGGAGAATGTGGTTGTGGTGTTTTTTCAGGGTAACTTCAAAACTGTTATAGTGGAGAGAAAGGAAGAGTGTATCCGTAACTTTGAAGATGCAATACTTCCCCCAAACCTCCACCATAAAGAACGTGGAAGGGTACATAAAGAAGGGAAGAACTTGATGTCATATTACCCCAGGGACAGGAAGATTGTAGATGATTAGCATGAGAAATCATAAAGTGAAAGTTTGTGGCACTACGTACAAAATGACTTCCAGACCCTGGATGACCCAGGATGAGCTGGACGCAGCAAAGATGATGGAGGAGGTGAGTAAGATATGGGTAATGGCATTGAGGGTTCCCTGGCTCGCTGCTCCTTGGGTTCGACTTCAGTTGAAACACGCCGTAGGGAGGATCTCTAAACAGTACCCTCCCGAGCGTTATGAGGATTCGCCGAAATTAAATAATTTAAAATTTGACATATCTCGTGATAGGAGGGACAGGGTGCCAGAGTTCTTGTTATGGCCTCAATCAAACGGACGAACCCTGCGCATTCAGGTAGTCACACAGAACACAGAATGGTGTTCTATGTGCAGGGAATATGGGCTCAAACCGGAAACTTGCCCACACACAATTGAGATCAGCACTGTCCAGCAACATGGCCCATTCCCAGGGGGCCAGAGGACACCCATCGCCAATGGTGGGTTCGGACTAACGACTGCTCATGCCAGGGGAGGCCTTCATGCAGACACTCTTCGGCAGGGTACTGCTCCGATCCTACACCAACAGCAACCCTCTGGAGACCACTTCGTCTTCGGTGCTCAAGGAGGGGGACAGGGAGGACCCCAAGGTGCTGCTGAAAATATTGCGGGGGGATCGAGCTCCCGAGGGGTGCTGGGCAGCCCACAGGACTCTGTCAGACCCAATCAGAGGAACCTAAAATTCGATAAAAAGAAAAATACAAAAGACTTGACAGCCACGGTGACAGAGAGGGAGGGCGTTCCACGGGAACTGGGTGGGAGAGGACAGGTCACCAGCGATGGTCACTCTAATGTTGGCCACCTCACGACTACTCAGATCCCTAATTCACACCCAATAGGAGCGGGATTAATGGCAGTGGAACTGGTTCTCAATTCAGATGCTGCAAGGTCTGGAAGGGGTGAGTCAGGAAAAGTTCCCGTAGATGCAGGCATAACCCAATTAGCTGGGGCAGGGATGGTAGGGTCTGATGGGACAAATTCGTTTCCCGGCACATTTGAGGGTCAGGCAGATGGTAATAATACTTCTCATGCTGTCTACCCAGTATCAAGTTCAGGAGTAAAAGGGGATGCTAGGATTCCTCCTACCGGATCCCCCCATGGCGGTGCAGACCTTGTTGCTGCTCAAACAGCTGCTCCAACTGCAACTGGTTTGGATGCAGTCACAGCAGACACCTATGGTATTACAGTGGGGCAGCCTTCTGGAAGTGCAACAGGAGAAAAGGGCTTCACGGGAGAGATCCCGCCTGCAGAAAGGACCGTAGACCCATCTGCAGGAATAATATCGCAACATGCGGCGGAGGTCTCTGCGGATATGAATGGGGACCAACTCAGCCTTAAGATAGCAGTCATTACACAAAAAATGTGCAAATCTGTGAAGGATGCAATCTTGTACCGTAGAAAGGATAACACTGCTACGGCAACAGACGGCAGGACAGGGGAATCAGTCGGTAATGCTACACTGCACAGCCAGCGGGATGATGAAATCCCACAGCACGTGGGGCTTAGTGCTGACAATTCCTCAGGCCTTAGCCCCGGAATGCAACTGGGACAGCAACAGATTCGGGAGGAAGAAATGGTGAATGAGGTACAGGAAGAGGATGAAGACGAGCCTCAGCAATCAGAGGACTCACAGGACTCACTGGAGGAGGGGAGACCAGCAAAAGAAAAGAGAGGCAGAACCGCCTCCCCGGGGAAAGAGGAAAAAAGAAAAACTGTCAGAGCAACAAGAAGAACTGGAAACCCGGCGAGCAGGAGTACAGGAACCAAATATTTAGTCCCCCTAATTTGTAGAAAGACACAAGAAGGTATCTTCTTCCTGACCTATAGCATGGGGACCAACATCAAGTTTCTGACACCAAGCACGGTGGAGGGTAACCTCTCTCAGGCATCCATGATGTCCAAAGTGAAAAATTATCTGGGGGCCAATGCCCCGGTGAGAGTTATGCCCGGCATTGGCTCCAGGAGAGTAGTAAGACCAGGAAGAAATGGGAACAAAGTACAACTCACTATTGATGCTTTTGATGTGCGCCCGAGTGAAAAAGATTTGGAGCTGTTGGCCAACTCAAAGGGGTGCTGGTGCCCCCTGGACTGGGTGAAGGAGGACAGCCTTCTGCACGCCAATATGGTGTACACGGCTGAGGGGATCTCAGGTGACGTGCTCATTGAATACAACCAGCAGCTGGCAACAGACTTCAATCTCTTTTCCTCAAGTTTTACTAGGTTGCTCTCCCTCCCCTTGCAAGGCAAAGGGAGTGGGCCGGATGAGGGTGAGGAAAGAAAAAGAAAGTCCAGCCTCACATCTCCTCATTTGAGGGTGGCAATGCGATCGGATGCAGTGCCCGCTGCAGTGGCAGTTGCAGCGGTTTCAGTGACTACATCTAATGGGGAAACCATCTCCATGTTCCCCCCAGCGGATATCTCGCTGATCCAAGACTCAGGGGCAACTGTTGTTAATGAATAAAATTAGAGTGGCCTCCTAGAATGTACGGGGCCTGGGGACTCCAATGGAAGGGAAAAGTGGGTCAGGATGAAATCTCGGATCCACCAGCAGAGGGCCCAGGTAGTACTCATTCTGGAGACAATTGGACGAAGAAAGAATAGCAAATTGTCAATGGAGGTGGCGGGGTCCCCAGTTTTGGGCCCCTGCAGAGGGTACCAGGGGGGGCACAACCATTCTGATTCATAAAGATTTTCAAGCCTCTCTCCTGGATCACTTGCAGACTCTTTAGGGAGGTGGGTGTGGGTAACTCTGGAGTTGGATGGGATGGAATGAACTTTTGTATCTATTTATGCACCAGTGGATAGGAGGAAGAAGGTGCAATTTTTCGAGGTTTTGCCCAAAGTGTTGCCACAGACCCCCAATCTAGTTATTGGAGGGGACTGGAATACGGTGTTAGATCCAGTTCTTGACTCCTCGACGGCGGATCCAGTCCGCCAAGACTCGCTGGCGTTGGGGGATTTTGCAAAATCAATGGATTTGGTTGATCCCTATCGCCAGATCCACCCCATGGGTAGGAAGTTCACTTGGATTTCTCACAACCCCGGACAAGATGGATCGTTCACTAGATTAAGATTTGACTTTTTTCTGCTTAGGAATAAACCGATGGAATGGGCTATGGAAGTCATTATGCCATTTGACCCCTTGTCTGATTATAGGTCAGTATTCGTCACGTTTGTCCCGGATAGTCATATAATTAGAGGAAGTTTTTTTTTTAGATTGAATACGGAACTTCTGAGGGACGTGCAGCTAGTCAGGTCTATCAAGAAAACACTGCACAAATTAAAGAATTTGAAACACTTCTATGACTCGGAAGTGGAATGGTTGGAGGCAGCTAATCGGCTAGCAGGCGTGGACCTCAGTTTCGCATCAAGGACAAAGGCCTATCTATCGCGCAAAGTTGAGGAGGAATGTGTCCAACAGATTGAGTGGGCAGAAACCAATTTGGGGGGGGACCCCAATTTCTTTGGTTACTGGTTCGCCCACAGGTCCTTTTGGATCGACAAATTGGGCAACATGTTGATTGAAAAAGAAAGAATCTGGGCTGAGAGGGCTAAAATCAGGGGGATGGATGTGGGGGACAGAATGACTAAGGAGAACTTCCCGAGGTTGTCAGCCAAAAACGGTTCATGCTTGATCATCGAACTCGACCACCCTTTCGACTCCTTTGAACTTAGAGCCAGGAACACAGAAAAAATATTAGATTATGCCAGACTCTACTTCTTGGACATTCTGACCTCTACTAGACAACCCTTCCTGGATCCAGAGGATGAGATTCTTCAGAATGAGATGTGGGGTTCCTTTGAGTCCAGGCTTCCGGCCCATGGCAAGTTGGATTTAGACCGTCCAATCACAATAGAGGAACTCTCTCAGACACTTAAGGAAATGAAGAAGGGCAAATGTCCAGGCAGTGATGGGTTACCAATGGAGTACTATGCTTGCTTCTGGGAGATTTTGGGCCCGAGTTTGATTGAAATATATGGGAATGTTTCGGAAGGTCAGGATTTAGGCAAAGAGATGAGGTTGGACACTATTTCCCTGCTTTATAAAAAAGGGGACAAACGAAATATTAGAAATTGGAGACCTATTTTTTTATTGAACACATCCTATAACTGCTAGCAAAGACTCTGGCAAACCGGCTGAAGAAATACCTCGCGAAGATGATTGGGCAGGAACAAGCCGGCTTTGTTCAAGGTAGGAATATCCTTGATAATGTGATGCTTACCATTGAGGCTTTGGAAACAATGAAACGTGACCAGCCGGAGGTAGTGGCCCTCTTGCTTGACTTGGAAAAGGCCTACAATAGGGTCAATTGGGACTTTGTACTGGACACACTTAAGTTGGCAGGATTCGGAGAGATCTTCTGTTGCTGGGTTAGAGCCTTGTATACCAAAAACCTGGGCAGAGTCATGGTGAATGGGGAAATCTCAGAGACCTTCCCTCTTTCCAGATCCTTGCGGCAAGGGTGCCCCCTTACCCCTATGCTATTCGTGCTTCAAATGGAGGTGTTGTTATCTATGGTTAGGAAGAAACCGGAAATACAAGGACTTTTATTAAGTTCAGGTGAGCAATGCAAGGCCTCAGCTATGGCTGATGACTTGTTTGCTTTATCCACTAACACACCCTCCTCTTTAGGAGCGTTGTGACATTTACTCCAAATTCTCTGAGGCTCTTGTGAACTGGTCGAAGTCGGTGGCTATTGTGAGGCAAGATACTAACTTGGCAGTGGATTGGGGGCTTAAATGCCTTCCAGCAGAGGATTGCGAACGTTTTTTGGGTGTGCAGGTGGGGTTGTTGGATGGCAAGAAGCAAGCGAGTGCCTTGGTGGAAAGGAATATCATCACCAGGCTCAGCAAGGTATCGTCCTTGAAGGGCATTTCGATTTTTGGTAGAGCCTTGTTCTTGAACACTTCCATTTTTTCATTGGCTTGGTTCCCTGGTTCCCTTAGAGGTCTGGAAAGACAAGCGTACAAGAAGATTAAATCTCTGTCAATAAGATACCTTTGGAAAGGTACACACGATGAGGACTCTGGGTATCTAGCCAAGGTGGCATGGAAAAAGGTCATAGGGGATAAGGTTATGGGGGTTTGGGTATCCTCGATCCCGAATCCCAAATTAATGCCTTCTTAGCTAGATGGGTAGTCCATTTGTTAACAGAAAAGAGTTCGCACCCATGGATGGATTTGGCAATTACCATTTTGGCAAAGGAATGGAGTCTATCTAGGAGGGAGGATGTGGGGGTGGCCCTGTTAACTCCCTCCTTGGTAGGGGCGCATATTAGATCTCCTATATGGAAGGGGATTTTGTCGGCATGGAGCCTAATCATGCCTTCCACCTTGAAGGACCCGGAGACTAGAGAAGAAATTCTGGCATAACGGCCAAAGCTTGTTTTGTTTTTCGGGACGTACGGATTTGAGATGGGGCCAAAAATTCGAAAACCTTTTGACACTCCGACCCTGCCCCGAGCCCGCCTTTTACTTATTGTGGCGACAAGTTATTTTGCTGCAAGGCTGAGGCCGTGTACTGGTGGTTTAATATAATAGTAATTTGGAATTTCGGATAAAGCATAGAAAAATATTACCATGGTTTTACAACAATAATTTGGGCTACAGCATTCATGTGAGGGATGCCGGCCCGTTTCCCGGCTTTATAACACAAAGTTGCTTTTGTTTATAAAAAAAAAAGGATTAGGCGTAGTTATCCAGAGCAAAAATAAGAGAGGTCAAAAAAAAAAAGTAAGCAGGTGACAGGAGCCGTGTGTACTAAGACCGCTGCCATGCAGCCACACGTCATCATGTTTTCAAACTTTTTTTTTTTTTTCAATGTTTTGTGACTTCCGTTAGATCATGGTCCAAACAGAAAAAAGAAAGAAAAAAAAAGAAAGAAAAAGATTGTCACCTCTCACTCAGGCCAAACTTAGGGCATGCTCACTCTAGGACTTTTTCTACTAAAGCTCTGGAATCTGGATGTTATTGCGGTCAGAATCGTCAGATTATTCCAGGTCTGGCCGTGATTAGCGCCAGATGCATCTAGGAAAGTACTAGTGTGTGCAAGCCTGACACTCGTACTTTCCGAAAACGTATCTGACTTTATTTACGTGTGTCAAACGGTAGATGACACACAATAATGATGACGGATCAAACCAATCAGATTCGTCACATGACAGCAGAAGAATTAGACAGCAAAGGAGGGAGAGAGAGTGTGTAGATAAGACAATCAACGGTGGAGAAGGGAAAACACAAACCACAACTCATGTCCCGAACGCGGCTTTATTAAACGATAAAACATGAAGCGCGGACATGGCGAATGACCCTACTACTTTCACCTGGTCGCCAACCAGGATCGTCAAGGGTCTTGAAGTCGGTACGACAGACGATGATCGTCGGACTTATATCCCAAAGTTGTCACCAGAAAAAGCTCAACTCTCCCGTCAAGTTACACAGTCCCGCCGGGGTTGAAGGCGACCAATTCTCCCACCCCGGCCCTGACAAGGACGAAACACAAATCTGCCCCGCTCCCAACAGGGCAGCCGCCCCCCACCTTGCGGCGCCCCTGTAGAGTAGGGCTCCCCAATACCACCCCCATCCTGCCCCCAAGAGTCCAAACCGTGACCACAGAAGCCCTATCCCGACTGATGAGTGTTGGGACTTTCGTCATTTTTTAGGACTGTAACTCCTTGCTGGCGCATTCTTGTGGGACTTTGGATTTGTGCGGCTTTGCGATTTGGACGGTGTGACTTGGCGGGAGAGTCTATCTTTTTCTGGTGACAGCTTTAGGATATAAGTCCGACAACCACCGTCTGTCGTACCGACTTCAAGACCCCTGGCGATCCTGGTTGGCGGCCAGGTGAAACTAGTAGGGCCATTCGCCATGTCCGCGCTTCACGTTTTATTTCCCTGCTCCACTGTTGATTGTCTTGTCTACACTCTCTCTCTTCCTCCTTTGCTGTCTAATTCTTCGGCTGTCATTGAAGATTGGTTTGAGCCGTCATCATTATTGCGTGTCATTTACCGTTTGACACACTTGTACACACGTAGCAACCGACGTAGAAGTTAGACTACTGTTGCATGGCTTCAACATATTCACGACTGATGGCATCAAACAATTCTAACATGAACGATCCCCATGATTGGTACAATTGTGGCCAGGGTGACCGTCGTCTGAATGGTGGTCGGACTTTGACTAGCACGGCTTTAGTGTCAGTTCGGGCTCCCTTGTTGAGTTTACCTCCTAATCCTAACTCCCAATCGAATGTCGGAACTGTTGTCACTTCCCATACAGGCAACTCGAGTGGTGGAGGATACATTGGAAGAAGAGTAACTTCACTGGAAGATGGTTTTTTTTTTTTTTTTTTTTTTTTTTTTTTTTTTTTTTTTGTAATAACATCCGCTGGGACTGTTACGTGAGATGATATGAGCATCATCAGGTACCATACCCCTGCGATGGCTCCTTTCTATTGGTGGGGAGCTGCACCTGCTGGAAAGTGGGTCCAGCGTCCCCAAAAGTACATTGCCATGAGTGTATGATCAAAAGGATAGAAGAGCCTCTTCAGT